TCTAAAGGGTCCTGGAACACACCCTAGGACCCTTTGGAGGCTCAGCCACCCCCCCCTGGAGGCCAGAGGGGGTGAAATCGCCACCTTCAGGGATTCTTCTGAAGCTTCCCAAGCCTCAAAAGAGTCCCAGTAGGTGGCGATTTTGCCCCCGCTGGCCCCATGGGGGTGGGTGGGGGAAGCCTCCCAAGGGTCCTGGAAGGCAGACTCGGACCCTTGGGAGGCTTCTCAAGCCTCAAAAGAGTCCCAGAAGGTGGCAGTTTCACCCTCTCTGGCCTGGCGGGGGGGGCAGGGTGAGCCTCCAAAGGGTCCTAGGGTGTGTTCCAGGACCCTTTAGAAACTCACCCTGCCCCCCCAGGAGTCAGAGGGGGCAAAATCGCCACCTTGAGGGACTCTTCTGAGGCTTCCCAAGCCTGAAAAGAGTCCCAGTAGGTGGCGATTTTGCCCCCGCTGGCCCCATGGGGGTGGGTGGGGGAAGCCTCCCAAGGGTCCTGGAAGGCTCCTTCGGACCCTTGGGAGGCTCCCCCCCATGGGGCCAGTGGGGGCGAAATCGCCACCTTCACTCCATAAGACGCACAGACTTCCCCCAAAAGTGCATCTTATGGAGCAAAAAATATGGTAAATGTGTTAACATTTAGTTGTAAGCCTGGAAGAGCTGTTGGTTTGGTGTCGGTTTCCACATTTGTTTAGCACCCATTCTGCCAGAGCTAGAACAGTAAATCAAATTGCTCTCATGATGTGATTTTTTTTAAAGGATGCTTTTTGCCCATGAAAGAAGTATTGGGGACATATCTGGCAGTAAAAATGCTGTACAACAAAGGCGAATTAAAATTTCTGGTCTTTCATTGCTTTGTCTAATGGTCACGTTCATCCTGGTTTTTTATAGGACCGTTCAGAGCTTGGGAAGTTATTTTTAAGAAAAATGAATGTAGTGACATACAGAAGCCACTGATAACTGAGGTGTGGATGCTTCAGTGTGTCGTTGTATTCATTCTTCTTTGAAGTAACTTTACAGGTTCTGCAATCTCTGTAGTAGTCCTTAATCTTTTCTCTAGGGGAAGGAAGATGCTATGTCTTTAAACAAGCCTGTGAAAATCCCGTATTCTAAAACTGACCTCTGAGCTCCAATTTCAATATTTCCAGGGCTGGCCAAAATGTTGTCAGGTGTCATCTCTGATTTGTCACTCAGTAGCAGATTAATGAATAGTTCAGTCTCTCTTTCTTTAGGTTCTGTTGATTCTTTCTAGTTGGATGACAAGCATAATCTTATGGGAAACTTACATGGAAGCCATGACAAATCATAATTCTCTGTCCTCCAAACTTCCTTCATTCTTTCCTTTAGCCTAAGCCCATGGATGCATACTTTTTTTTTGTTTCCTGTGGGCTGCGGTGGTTTCTATGAAACCTGAATCAGAGCTGGTCTGACCTGTGCTTCAGGCAAACCAACCCTCCTGGACTTTGTTAGGAGTGAAAGAACTTCTCTACTGTGGTCAACAATGTTTTGCTTTCCACTTGACTGCTTCATGTCCTATTTAATGAATATGGTTTCCTGGCCCTATGAACATTCACATTTCTTGTACCTAAACAGGACAAAATGGCATATCCAGAAGCAATAATAAGAACATTAGGGCGTAGGAAGCTGGTCATTATTAAATTAGGTCATTGGTTTAGCCCAGCATTACCAACTCTGGCTGGCAGTGACTCTGTAGGGTTTCAGGCTTGCTGCGGATTGAACCTGGAACCTTCTGTGAGTTTCACCACTGAACTAAATACCCTCCCTGGTACAGCACCTTGTATTCCCCTATTATTTTTCATCCAGGTGTTAACTAGATTTAGCTCAGCTTGATTTCTAAAATGGGACAAGATTAAAGATATTCAAAGTAGTGTGGTAAAATTAAGCATGTTTTTAGAGCAGTCGACTCTAGATTGTACCCCTGTCTTGTCACAACTTCTTTTTGTGTTGAATCCATCAAAATGGATCTCAGAAGGGCTCCTTCCATCCACTGAAGACTTTCTTTTGCTAGAAGAGGTGGTGCTGATGATACGTCATTTCCCCCTGTTTCTTCAGTTCCTCATGGACTTGCCAAATTTGCTCTGGGGATTAGGGAATCCTCTGGAACACTGAATAAAATGGCACTGAGGATTGTTAATGGACAAAGAAATCAACCAAGATAGATTCATGAGGGAGTACTCTAAGTCAGACCTGGGCAAAGTGCGGCCCGCGAGCCACAGACGGCCCGCGCGCTGCTCCTGTCTGGCCCGCCCGTCACTGCTGAGTGAGCCGGAGCTCCGGCTCTGGTCACCCAGCACGTCAGTAAGCAACACCCGCAAGATCTGACGCTGGGATCTCACAAGTTTTTACTGTTACTCTTGAGCCACAGGCTGCGGAGCCTGCTGCTCAAGAGGCTGGAAGCAATCCTTGCGCAGGCGATGTGATGACGCATCACGTCGCCTGCGCGGGATAGAAGATAGTCGGAGAGGAAGGCCGTGGGGGAACGGAGGAGAGGTGAGTTAGCTCATTGTCGGGGTCCCCCCCTGCGGTGAACGAATTACAACACTCACATAACATCACTGTTTCATTTTATTTTTTAAGTAAAGTTGGTTTGACCCCCAAACACAGTTCAGATTTTTCATGTGGCGCCCTATAGAAATTAATTGCCCACGCCTGCTCTACGGAGAGGAAGGCCGTGGGGGAACGGAGGAGAGGTGAGTTAGCTCATTGTCGGGGTCCCCCCCTGCGGTGAACGAATTACAACACTCACATAACATCACTGTTTCATTTTATTTTTTAAGTAAAGTTGGTTTGACCCCCAAACACAGTTCAGATTTTTCATGTGGCGACCTATAGAAATTAATTGCCCACGCCTGGTCTATGTGGAACTTCATTGTGGGTCTGTTCCTGTTAATACAATGTATAATGGATCTAACCCAGTGGCTCCCAACCTTTGGTCCCCAGATGTACTTGGACTAAAACTCCCAGATGCCTTCACTCTTAGCTGTGCTGGCCAGGATTTCTGGGAGGGGTAGTCCAAGAACATCTGGGGACCCAAGGTTGGGGGCCACTAGATTAAATACATTTTACATTGCACTAGCAGGAACATACTACTGATCTAATCCACAGTCTTTGAGATGAAATCCTACTCTCCGCTGTCGTGAGAGTGGATATAGTCTGACCCTTCAGATATTGTTTCACTGCCCATCAGTCCTGAGGAACATAGACAGTGGGTAGGAAGGCCGAGAGTTGCAGTCTGCAGCATCCATGGGGCTGCACATTGCCCATCCTGCTATACTGAGTTAAAACTTGGGGTGTTATTACACTGCAGGGGGAAAATACGAAACTATATGCTTTCTGAGATTAGCTGTTAATCCCCTTTTCTCCTTAAAATTGTAAGAGATTCCAAAATTAGAGCCCTGTGTCTTAACATGTAGTTAAATTAAATTGCTTTCAGTCTTAGAATACCTGCTATGGGAGAAATGCTAGTGTAGCTTCGAAGTAGACTCTAACTAACCCTAGTATTAGGATAATTAAAGTAAATATAGGATAGATAGGAATGATTTGTCCTTGCCTTACTTTTTATATACAATACCTTTGTGACATAGGTGGAACTGCCCTATCAGGATACCATCTTAATGTGGTTAATTTGTGGATGCTTCTGTTCTTTCTAGTATTTTTACATTCCTGAATGTACTGGTTGCTCTTCTTTCTGTGATTCAAAGGAAGAGAATGCTTAAAGTATATGTACGGGCATATTTATTGGATCAGCCACTCTGTCCTGCGGAGGTGTGGACAGAATCAGAGTGGTCTCCTCCCTCAGCTGCCTGGCCAATCTTAAACTTCCACCATGCAGTGGCAAGAGAGTAGGAAATCTGGTTTGCCAAGGTATATCAACTGTCTTGAGCAATAATGTTAGGATATGCCAGTTCAGAAATTGTCATTACAAAAATACTTTGTCCTAAGATTCTAACTTTGCTCTGAGTACTGTTATGATTTGCAACTGAAAAAAAAATGGGAAAGGATTAGGCAGCAGTTTTGTTCCTGAAAGTAAGCTTCATTAAACTCAGTAGAATGGACTTTTGATTAGTCATACATATTAGAATGTGCTGCATTATTACTAAGTATTTTTTAAAGGGGCTGAATGCAGTTGGTAGTTTCAGTTGGGTCGACCCACTGAATGAATGGGAGTTGTTAAATCAACAGTTATACAATTTCCATTGATTCAGGAGGTCTGCCCTAGCTGGGACAAACAACTGGATTTAGCCCATAGTGTCTTAACATTATTTTCCTAAGACTTCTTAATTATGTTTATTTTTCATGTTTAGGTGTGGAAGAAAATGTCAGTCAGCATGCATGAGAATCGCAAGTCGAGAGCCAGCACTGGCTCTATTAATATATACTTATTCCATAAGTCTTCTTATGCCGATAGTGTCCTCACTCATCTGAACCTTCTCCGCCAGCAACGCCTTTTTACAGATGTGCTTCTCCATGCTGGGAACAAGTCCTTCCCTTGCCACAGAGCTGTCTTAGCTGCTTGCAGTCGTTACTTTGAAGCCATGTTCAGCGGAGGACTCAAGGAGAGTCAAGCCAGTGAAGTCAACTTCCATAACTCCATACACCCAGAGGTTTTAGAACTTCTCCTGGACTATGCTTACTCTTCAAGGGTCATCATCAATGAAGAAAATGCAGAGTCTCTTCTAGAGGCAGGTGACATGCTGGAGTTTCAAGACATTAGAGATGCTTGTGCAGAATTCCTAGAGAAGAACCTTCATCCTACTAACTGCCTTGGCATGCTGCTTCTATCAGATGCTCACCAGTGCACCAAGCTTTATGAGCTGTCTTGGAGGATGTGCCTTAGCAACTTCCAGACCATCAGCAAAAGTGAAGATTTTCTACAGCTCCCCAAAGACATGGTTGTACAGCTCCTGTCTAGTGAAGAACTAGAGACTGAAGATGAGCGGTTAGTGTATGAGTCTGCCATGAACTGGATTAACTATGATTTAAATAAACGCCACTGTTATCTACCAGAACTGTTACAGACTGTGAGGCTGGCTCTCCTGCCAGCCATCTATCTAATGGAGAATGTAGCCACTGAAGAACTTATTACCAAACAACGGAAGAGCAAAGAGATTGTAGAAGAAGCAATAAGGTGCAAATTGAAGATTTTACAGAATGATGGCGTAGTCACCAGTTTGTGTGCAAGGCCTCGAAAAACTGGCCATGCCCTGTTTCTTTTGGGAGGACAAACCTTTATGTGTGACAAGTTGTACCTGGTTGACCAAAAAGCAAAGGAGATCATTCCAAAAGCTGACATTCCAAGCCCGAGGAAAGAGTTCAGTGCATGCGCTATTGGCTGTAAAGTCTATATTACTGGTGGCCGGGGATCTGAGAATGGAGTCTCTAAAGATGTTTGGGTGTATGATACGCTTCATGAAGAGTGGTCCAAGGCTGCTCCCATGCTAGTTGCTCGGTTTGGTCATGGTTCTGCTGAACTCAAACACTGTCTTTATGTTGTAGGAGGGCACACAGCAGCCACTGGTTGTCTTCCAGCATCTCCCTCTGTATCTTTAAAGCAAGTAGAACAATATGACCCTGTGACAAACAAATGGACGATGGTTGCCCCACTTCGAGAAGGCGTAAGCAATGCAGCAGTAGTCAGTGCAAAGCTGAAACTATTTGCTTTTGGTGGTACCAGTGTCAGCCATGATAAGCTACCCAAAGTTCAGTGTTATGACCTGTGTGAAAACAGGTGGACAGTTCCAGCCACCTGCCCCCAGCCGTGGCGATATACAGCTGCAGCTGTTCTGGGTAACCAGATTTTTATTATGGGTGGAGATACAGAATTCTCTGCATGCTCAGCTTATAAATTCAACAGCGAAACCTATCAGTGGACTAAAGTGGGAGACGTGACAGCGAAGCGAATGAGCTGCCATGCAGTAGCATCTGGAAACAAGTTGTACGTCGTTGGGGGTTATTTTGGTATCCAGAGATGCAAGACGCTAGATTGCTATGATCCCACATTAGATGTGTGGAACAGCATAACCACAGTGCCCTACTCACTTATTCCCACTGCATTCGTGAGCACATGGAAGCATCTCCCTTCTTAACTGCATGCGTGCCTATACAGGTGAGAAACATACCTGCAAATTCAACTAGTTATTTTGACGCTGTATAGGTATAATTGCTAATTTGACAATCATGTTGACATGATACAGCATTGGCCAAATTGTGCTGTTTTCCCTGATTCCTTTTCTCAGAAAATGGGGCTGATTTAGTCAATGTTACAGCATCAGGAATAGAACCTGACTTTTTAAATTGAACTTCACTTGGCTTTAGAAATGTGAACAAATCAGTTGTCCTCATATGAGCACTTTTGTAACTACTATAATGTATGAACTGGGCAATCACAGTGCAGACGTAGCTTCTAGAAGTATACTGTATGTGTATAAACCTGATACACTTTAATAATATGCAAGCATGAACTTACTTAGGGTTATCCACAAACATGAAAATCCCTATGTGATATATGTGGCCACATATAAAATTTGTGAAATACTGTATCTTGATTAAACTATCATCTAGGCAGGTAATATAATCCAAGTTATTTGAAACTCACTTCAAATTAATTTATTCATTTAATTAATTTTTCTTACAACTGAAGATGTTTGACTTCCATGACCCTAGAATATTCATACTATTATCTACCACTTTCTTGTTATTAATGGTTCTGCTAGTCACATTTATTTATTATTTACTTGATTTATACACTGCCCCATTAGAGCAAAGCACTACTCTGGACAGTTTACAGATTAAAACTTAAAACCCTTGAAGACCTGACAGAACAACATACATTCAACCTATATGAGGACACATCTTTAGTATAGTATGGAAGGAAAATTAGGCTGTGGGCTCATGTAGCTAAACTTAGTGAAATCAGGACTATTTATAACATTTAACTAACATGTTTTTTGGGGGGAGTATAGTTCTAAAGTTTGGTGGTGAATCATGCTAACCGTATGCTTATAAGAAGACATGCCATTTGGTTCAAGTAATAATTTGGCTTGCAACTCAGAGCGTTCCAAAGCCTGTAAATTCTACTTTACAGTTTCGTGTAGTGGCCCACATTTGCACCAGATGGTTCTGGCAGGTGCTGCCCTAGTGACTTCAGTTCAATGGCACAAGTAATTCTGCATTTGAACTTGCTCATGCAGGTGCTTGTAGATTTTTCTTGCTGTTAGTGTAAACCTTTTCAGGTTTCTCTTGTTTTCTCCCCTCTCTCATTTTGAAACTGCATTAAAAATCTTCCTTTTGAAGGACATTCTTTTCTTAACCAGCTGTTGCTTCAATTAAAAGTTCTTTTTTCCTCATGCCGTTTTTTGCTCTTCCAAAATGACAGTTAAGCAGAATTAAATGAAGAAAAGTAATTGATTCAGAGAATTTTCTTACGAGTTTGCTGGGTTTGGGGTAAATGTTTTGTTTTTTCTAGAGTGTACGCAGCCCAGTCCTACTCAGAACTCATCCCTATTTCTTTTTAAAAAAAACATTTTAAAAGAAAAGTTCAAAGCACATGTTGACAAGCAGTGAGGTATTCCAAAGTAATTAGTCCAGAAATTTCAACTCCACTTGCCTAAATAGACCCGCGCCTGAAATTTCTTATGGCGTTTGGAAGCTACATAATGGACCTATAAAATGGCTCTGGTTGTAAACATGCTTTGGCATTGTTCTCTTCTTTTAAGGTAACTTTGTTGGCAGGATTAAAAGGGACTGATTAAGGGGGTTCTGTAATAAAAGCAGAACAGCTATTATCTTTGTAACTGAGTGAATAACAAACAAAGAGAGCCATTTAGGATCGCTATAAAAACTATAGCAAACTGGGCAGTTGAAGTGCAAGTACCTTAGCCAATATTGGTGCTGAATTACAACTTTAATTCTAAAGAATTCAGGGTGGTGCACATGTGGTTTCCCTCTTTTTAAAATCTTCTACAGACCCATGTATTAATTCTTTGGTCAAGAATTGTTGAGAAAATGCTCCTGGTGGTTTCCCATTCAAGGCAGTGTTGTTGCATGAAGTTATTATAGTGATTCTTACAACAACCCTTAAAGATTGCCTTTGACAATCTGATGGGCAACCTGGTGCCCTCCCCTGCCATTTTGGATTTCAGCTCCTATTATCCCCAACAAGCATTATCAGTGGCCACGTGAGAGGCAATCGTAGGTATTGTAGTCCACTTGAGTCTGAGAATTATCTTGAAAATTTAAGGCTAACTGCATATTCCCCAGAATTAAAAAAGTAGAAAAATAAAATAAAGCATTGTCCTCAAGAGGCTAACACTAAGAGAACTGGAAGCATCTCTTTAGATCCCACTGCTTCTGATTATTTAAATCATCATTAACACAACCATCATAAATGATAACAATTCTGTAAACTCAAGAGTTTTATCAAGATAAACACTGACATGTACTCTCAGGATTGCTCCAAAATGTTCTTGCTATTATCAGTATTTTCTTAAATGAATGTGCATTTTTTGATTATCATACAAAATTACCCCCCCCCCAAAAAAAACCACCCCTGCAACTCCCAGCATCTTCTAACCAGGGAGAATTTTGGGAGTTGCAGTAAAAAAAGAAATCCCTATTTTTCCCCCAAGCTCTGGGACATCCAAGAGGCTTTCCTTTCAAGTTAATAAGAGCATGAAGCCAATTTGCTTACTGTGCTCTTTTCCTCCCGCTTATAAAGGCATTCCTTCACTTCTGCAATGCTTAAAGATAACTGAATAGATGTGGTAGAAGACCAGCAATCTCTGGGGCTGCATATACATCCAGCAAGTAGATATTTACCGGCTCCTGCTGCTCTGTCAGCAGGAGGGAGGGACAGAAAGGAAATTACTACTGATTGCACTGTGTTTTCATGGTGCTGTGTGGCCCCAGCCTGAAAGCGGTTAGGAAAATCGCATGTCTATTTGTGTTCCCTCAGACTTCTAGTCTGCCTCAAGTAAGCCTACACAGAGGAAAAATCCTATATAATCTATGCAGTATGACTGGAGCCATTATATAGGCTTCAGTGGTTGAAGCTGAGGGGGAGAAGTAACACATTGGTCAAAGGAATGTGGAGAAGACTGATCAGCAAGCAGTATATTAAATAAAATAACAAAAGGGGGGTGTCTGTCTTTCATCTATAGGAAATAGCAAGCAAGAGTGGGCATTCCTGTACCAAGCTTTTGCCCTGTGCTTTGAATTTCAGAGTTTGAATTCGGCTTTTAGTACCACCCCTTTACATTCAAATCAGTTGCATCAAGCTAACTAGGGCAGTTTTACAATTACACTGGAGGAAATCCCATCAAACTTTGCTTCATACATTCTGGCAGAGCTATTAATTGCTACTTTAAAAACCAGCATGGTGCCTGGTTTGGAAGCTGACTGTGAGCATAATGGAGTGAGAAGTTGGGAGTATGGGATGCCAGATCGTAGCATCCAAAGCCAATATTTTTACACTGAATAATCAATGTGCAAAGAGGCTTCAGTGGGGAGGCACTGAAGCATACTACCTAGTCACATGAGAAAGCACAGCGAAACAGCATTTTGGCATAATGAATAGCAGAAACATTTTAAATAAAGGGATTAATGTGTCTGCCATTCATATTCTGAATCAGTTCTATTCAGGATTCTCCATGGTTAACAGGGCATTCACTGGCAGTTTTCTTCTCCAAGACGCTGACTTCCCTTCCCCCCCTCTTTTTTTTTAATTTGAGGGCCCAGCACCAAAGTGGCTATTCTGCTGCTTCTGCCAGGCAGTTGCTGGTTTTCTTTTTTAAGGGAGTCTCCACTAGACACTTTCTTCTTTTTACTGTATTTGTTTGCATTGCCCACCTGGGAGCTTGAGATGGAATTGGTATATATTACTAAAGCAGTGCTCCGCCCCAAGCTAATTATATTAGGCAGGATTGTGTTTATGGGAGATTTTTTTTTGGCTATAGGTAACTGTCACAATGAAAGATTAACTTAAGTTGCAAAATCTATCCTTAAGTGGCCCCCCCAATGTGATTTTTTTTTTTTTTTGCTATAGATAACTGTCACTATGAAAGATTAACTTAAGTTGCAAAATCCATCCTTAAGTGGCCCCCCCAATTTATTATTTTAGAGTTGATAAATTGTGCATATAGCCCAGGAAGGGCTCATATTTCCTAAAAGCCAGAGCTGAACTTCAAGATGTGTTTAAGAAGTATTTTTTGGGACAAAAATTGTATTATACATTGTTTCACTGAATTCTTCTAAAATGTTTTCTTCCCTTTCTTTTCTCAGTTTATTCCATTATTTGGTGAAGAAACATTGGAGCCAACTGTGGAGATGCAGTTTGAATGAAGAAAAACTCATCCTGTTCTATTATTATTATTATAATTATTATTATTGTTATTATTATTATTATTAGTTTGAAGAAAATCTTCTGCACCTTCTAAATTCATAAAGCTGGAAATGAAGGAATGGGAGCGGAATAGTGTCTTCAGTATATTACATGGTTTAATGATGAATGAATGAACCTATGATCTGGTCCCTGTGTCAGTAATTGTGGATTAATGTCAAGTTTAATCAGCCTTTCAAAGCAGGGGTGTGGGGTGTGTGTGTGGACTTTCCCGAGCTGCACAACACAGCACAACCCATTTCCATGGACTTTGCTGTTTGTATGCAGAATTTGAAATGCTTGTCACCTCTCTTTGTGACAGTTTGAAGCGTCAGCAGCAGCTGCAGAGGAAGGGGGCCAGATCTGGCGCAGCAGCAACAGCAGCAAGATGTATGTCTTTGTGAAGGAAGATGCAGCTGTATTCCTTGGAACAGGGATAAGCTTGTTTTCTTCAGCAGTGCCTGGAGCATCCGTTTAAATTGCAGAGTTGTGGCAAGTGACCTATTACTTGCAAAGGAGCAGGAGCTCTGCTATTAACAAAAAAGGAAAAAAAAAGGAGGGGGGAGATGGCAACTTTTGTGGGTGAAGGGAAATAACTCTCCCCTACCAAGCATTTGATTTCTTCTTGTATTTATTAATTGCCAGTGTCCTGCTCCAGAATTGTTACTTGTTGTAGATATAGCTATTTATTGTTCAGTGCTTGCATGCTGAAACAAATGCCTAGAGTTGTCTTCATGTTATAAGGGCTTATGTGGGTTGTATGTTTTGCACATTTTGTGATTTCTGGACTTGTTATGCTGCACAAGAAGAAAACTGAGTACTACGGGAGGAGAGAAGAATGAGATGGAGGAAGGACCGAAATGGAAAAAAATGACATGGAGCCTCTTAAATTGTGTATGTCCTGAAGGAAGATACATGGAGGTCACTTTCTCAGGCCAATTGTACCCTAGGTTACAAGTGGCAGGGCTTTGCTGATAGTATTCCCATCACCCTGTCTTTGCCTAGTCATGTTTTTTTTTTTTTGAATGAACTCATCTGGAAACTCTCATAGTCACTTAATAGCTTTCTTTTTGTGCAGCTTCATCACTACTGGAAAGGGAGGGTGGGAAGGGGGAAACCAGCAGAATTTATTTTCACAAAGCCCTGTTCATGGCATTATCCAACATTTGGTTTGTTTATTTATTTATTTATTTTTTAGCTGATGGGATGTTATTGGACCAAGAAAAGACTTTCTCATTCAGAGATCTGAAACAAGACAAATCAGTAGGAGAATGTTTGTTGTTCCTTTTTTTAAAATAAAATAAAATAAAACAATGCTAATTCAATTGGTACAGCCTTTTTCGGATTGAAAGGGTATTGGCAACCTTTTCCTGTACCACCCCAGGCAGTCTGTGTAAGGTTTGGCCTAACTATTAGAATGAGAAAGGGAAAAAAAGTTCCTAACTCCTCAAATATTTTTATTACTTTGCACGAACAAGCAGGTTACACTTTCAGTTGCCTAATAGCTGAAAGTGTCACATAAAGGGTTTTCAGATGGCCCTCCCAATTTAGTTTCTTTTTTCACATTAACTTTTAAATCTGCTCATTCTCTTCATGTTTTCTAGCCATAGGACTAAATCCATTTGTCAGCTCTGTTAGCCCCAGCCATAGTAAACTAATTATTAAGGGAATGCCCTTAGGTGTGGACCTAACAAAGTAGGTCTCCTGTAGTTGGGACTAAAAATGGGGTTTAGGCTGTGGTTTTTTTTTCTTTCATTCAAACCTGTAGTTAACATTTTTCATAAGAATCAGTACAGTTAAAAGAACATAAACCTGCCATTTCTCCATTGTGGTTGGTTGTCTTGTCTTAATATTGTATAACCAAAATTTACTTTGAAATGCATGTGTGCATGCCTAGAAAGAAATACAATGACAATGCCTGCCTGCATAATGATGATGATGATGTAGTAGCTCAGCTTTTGACAGCTTTTTAACCATATGGAACAATCTTTCAATAGAGTTCATAGCACAATCCTATAAAAATTATGGCTCATCGTATTCAGTGGAACTGAATTCCCTAGCACAGCTTTTTTCAGCCAAACATCTCCCAGTGTGTTGGATCACAGCTATCATCCGTCCCCAGCCACAGGATCATGGGTTAATGGGAATGGTAAGCATATTAGGAGGGCACCAGGCTGGGGAAGGTTGCAGTATGTTCAGCATTACAGCAAACAAATCATTTTCTCATGCTGCCATAGTCTTTTTATCCTGACTTTCAATATATGCATTTCTTACGTATTATCTTAAATAAGAAATGAATGTCTGTGCTGTCTCACAAATAGTGAGTTGTGGCTCTTAGTATGGTTAGCAGAAAGATTTTTTAAGGAACTCCGAATGACGTGAATTTTTATATGCAAAACATTGTATCACAAACCACTGTTTTGATCTACATGTTTTCTATGAATGGTCACATTTGTTTAATATCACACCTACTGTATTTCAAGAGATTGCTAGAGAGGCTCCCAGAATCCAAGTCATTCTGAACTCAGATTTCAAAGGTACTGAGTGACTGGGATGAAGGAGAAGACAAAATCTTGGTTCATGTTCTTCTTGCCATTGAGATGTTGCATCAGGGCAAAAGTTCTGAATAAAATTGTAGCAGAGTATAGAAGAAGTGGCAACGTGGTTTGTGCTTAGCCACTCTTTGCTCTGAAGAAAAGCTGTTGGCCTTATTATTTTATGACACCCTGTTTGAGAATTAGACCTGAAATGGGCCATTATAAGAACTCTCCATAGCTGCAACATAAAATGGCAATGAAGAAACTTTTTAAAGTTCTGAAAACATTTTTCCAAATAAAACCTCAAACCTTGATTGAGCACTGAAAGAAGTCTTAGAACAGCAATTTTACACACGCAAACTGCATAAATTCAGTTTTTATAAAGTCCACCAGTGCAAATTCTTTAAGCAAGGACTGTTGATTGCAAGAAGGTTGGAGGCCTCTTAACCCTTTTAAAGTTCACATGCAAATAAAGTAACTCTAAAGCACTGTTGAACTGTGAAAGTGTTTTTATACTCACTTAGCACAGACATGAATCACTCAAGGTGTTTTGAGTAAAGGGTCAAAAAATCCTTTGTTTTCTTTGTTGGGAGAAGTGACAGAATTCTGTCTGCAGCAGCTCTCTATATAGCTATTTGGCTTATGACACAAATCTGTTTTGTAATACCATCCAATTTCCTAAGGCATCTGAAGTTTCTGCAGTTGTATTTCAAAGCAATGGTTTGCTTTCATGTCAGTGGATTTAATTCCTGGGTATAGGCTGAAGGAAACAGAAAAATTAGGGTGGGCCTCTTAGCCCTGCAGGCGAATATTTTGAGCTCCCTTTTTTTGAATTGACATGGGAATCACGACTGGCTACTTGGCAATCCCAGCCTGAAAAACAGTCCACACTTCTGAGACAAACGCTATTCACACTAGAGTGCACACAAAAACTTTGGCATAAGACAAGAAATTTCTTCCTATTTTGTGGGCTGGTTGCTGTGGAGACCTGCCACAAAGGGCAGCCTACTACTTCTGGTATAATTGTCTAGCCCCTTTTCTCCAGGCCTGACACCTGTCTGAATAAGAGTGATTAGAGCTGAATAGTGTCCCTTGTCTGACAATTAAAGATAAACCTCACGTACAGAGGAAGAAAAAAAAAGAGAGAGAAAAGAAAAACCATACCAAAAAACAAAAAAACAAATTAAAACTGAAGAAGTGAAATGGCCATGTTTTTCTTTGTTTCTTGCTATATTTTGAAGTTTTGTAAAACTGCATTTCTTTTTCACAATGTGAAACCGAAGGTCAATAAATTATTAGAGATTTTCTCTTCAATAAACAAGCTCTTCTCATTTTTTTAAAAAAAATCTCGTTGCAAAAATACTTGAATCCATTTATAGCTCAATCTTTTTTTAAAAAAAAAGCAGTTCTGAGGAGTTTACTAGTTCCTCTCACATGCCTGCCTCAGTTACATTCAGAATGTTTCTCTTTGTTCCATTCCGCTACTTACTATGAACTGCCCCTGAAAGTTTAGCTGCTAAAATGACAGGAACCTTAAGACAGCTTGGTAGACAGGAAATACAAGGGATTTGTAAATCCAGCCCTTCTTGAAGCATGCTTTTGTGACTGATATTACTTGAGAAGGTAATTATGCTAGTCACATCCTTTAGAATTATTCCTCAGTGGTTGCAGGGGTGGGGGAGGCAAAAGAAAAGTAGTTTGGAATAAGTTATGTGGTCAGCATCCTCTTGAATTCTACTGTGTGCATTAAGGGCAATCATGCAAATATTTGTTGCATTCTGCTGCTCATAGTGTGACTGCTTCAGTGATTGATTGCACATACAGGCCACACTGGGGCAGGTGGCCTGCACAACAGTGCATGTTATTTTTTTTATTGCTGTTCCACACTCAGTAACTCAGTAACAGGATTCTGGTCTATGCCATTTAATTTTTAATGTGCTGTAATAAATAATATTGAGAGCCAGTGATTTGTAGAGTGGCAGACTAGGATTCAGATACCTAAGCTAGAATCTCCATGGTGCTGTGGAAACTTACTGGAAGGTGAGAAAGGTAAAATCACTCTTTAAATATCTCACATACCTTGGAAAGCCTATTAGGATTGCCATATGTCACATGCTATTATACAGCACATAACATAGTTACGTGTCGTAAAATTGGAATCCGCTCATAGTGACCCAAAGGGGATGTGGTGGTGCTGCGGGTTAACCTACAGAAGCCTCTGTGCTGCAAGGTCAGAAGACCAGCAGTCGTAAGATCGAATCCATGCGACAGAGTGAGCTCCCGTCGCTTGTCCGAGCTCCTGCCAACCTACCAGTTTGAAAGGATGTAAATGTGAATAGATAAATAAGTACCACCACAGTGGGAAGATAACAGTGTTCTGTGTCTAGTCGTGCTGGCCACATGGCCACGGAAACTGTCTTTGGAGAAAACGCTGGCTCTATGGCTTGGAAACGGGGGTGAGCACCACCCCCTAGAGGCAGACATGACTGGACTAAATGTCAAGGGGGACCTTTACCTTTATCATAGTGACCCTAAAATGGTTTTCAAGGTACCTAAAATATTTAAGGAGTTCCATTCCTCCACTGAGTTACCATGGCTAAGTGAGGATTTGAACTTTAGTCTTCAGAGTCCTAGTGTGTCACCCTGTCCACTACTCCATGCTTGATATCTACATGACAAACATAACATAATATTGGATTGGCTCCACACTTGGAGAAGATGTATTCAGCTCAGCAAGGCGCTCTAGTCTTTTAAGTTAATTCCCATTGGTTTTAAAGAATCCGCTCCAAATGTAACAATCTGAATGCAAGCTGTAGATTCCACACACACACACCCATTTCTTTAGCATATATTGGGTTAGGTCCAGGTGAGTATGGCAACAAGTGGGCTTTCTTACCTCCCTTCTCCCTGTGGAAGCCTCTCCAGCCCTTCATACATTCTGCATAGGGTAGGGGACACACCTTGCTGAGCAGAATGAGCTGTTGTCATACAGGGGCATTTCTCAGAATTTGGGAGAGGAAAGCTCTTCCATCCTCTGAAGGCAGATCATTGATTCAAGCCAGTGATGAACAGACCTCCCTTGTTCCATTCACTCAGTGTGCCAGCAGGAAACAGATGTGGTTGGATGACACCACTCTTCGAACACCAGTATAGCTTCATAAGTAACTGTCAAAGATAAAGCTAGACAGTTTGCTAGCCAAAGATGTGGAAGCAAGAGGAAGCCTGCCGTTCTACAGGTGGGTTTGTTGTGGCCTTTCTGAAGGTTTGCAAAAAGTGGCAGGCAATCTCATGTGATGGCTGGAAGACTACAAAAGAACGAACCTGGAGAAGTAACTCAGGGAGGCCCTAATTCTTCCATGCTCGTCAGCCATAGAAGGCAGCCCATCTAGGAGAAGGAAAACTCTGATTTCAAACCTCCACTGCCTTGCGGCTATATCCACTCATGGAAAAGGCTTCAGGGGTTAACCTCGAGGCAAAATCCGGAGCTGGAGTCCCGAAGGCAGCATGTGTCATTCTGCCAACTCCTGCGACATTGCTGGAACCAGTTGTATTGGCTCTTGCCTTTCCATTGGACCATTTCAGCAATGTGGAGAGGGGGGATCTGCTGCTTGGGTAACAGCCTATCCTCCATATTACCTTACCCGGGCTTCATGCTCTGGAGAGGACACTCCTCGATTCAGAGCATGTTACCATAGTCTCTCGAGACTGAAGGATGCCTATGCTATGGTGTCAATAGACTTGTCATTGATCACAGGATCTATTAAATGATTTGGAAAG